GTCCTCCGGTCTTTTCTTACTTACCTTACGTGGGACCGCCGGCGATAGCGGTGGGGGGGGACTCCCAGGGAGCCCCCCCGCGGTAAATCCTCCTCCTCCGGTGCCCCCCGGCCATGTGAGAGCGGGGTCCTTGCGAGGACCCCACAATCACATGGCCAGGTAGGCTGCCTCCGGCATTGCCAGCAGGGGGGCTGCCTGTAATGACAGGTGGTCCCCCTGCTGGCTGAAAATAAAAATAAAAGAAATTAAAAAGTGTAAAAAAAAAAAAAAAGTATACTTAGATCATATATATATAAATATATATATATATATATATGATCTAAGTATATATATACACATATACATACACACACATACACTGTCTAGGTGTATTTTACTATTAATATATATATAATTATATATATATATATATATTAATATAAAATTACACGTAGACTGATACTGATTAAATATATATATAATTATTGTTATATATATATATATATATATTTATATATAATATAAAAAAATGAAATATGTAAATACGTTAAAAATATTTAAAAAATAATAAAAAAAAAATAATTAAAAAATATATAGATGTGTGTTATTTCGTTCTAACTGTATTGTGATATTAATATATATATATCAAAATACACGTAGAACGAAATAATATATATATCTACATACATAAATATATACGTATATATCACTATATATATACCTATATATAAATAAAAATATTTTTAAAAAATTATATAGATATACACATATAGATTCACATACGTATATATATACATATATTAATTCTACATATATATTTATGTAATATTTTTACATAATTAGGTATCTTAATTAATTACAATTAGCGGGACCTGCCTGACAACCCATGCCAAAAGTAAAGGGAATTTAATTTGCAAACACTATATTTAACCCTATAACTTTCCAAGACACCATAAAACCTGTACATGGGGGGTACTGTTCTAGTCAGGAGACATCGCTGAACACAAATATTAGTGTTTCAAAACAGTAAAGTGTATTACAACGATGATATCGCCAGTAAAGTGACATTTTTTGCCTTTTTCATGCACAAACAGCACTTACACGGACAATATTATTGCTGTGATACTTTTTACTGTTTTGAAACACAAATATTTGTGTTCAGCGAAGTCTCCCGAGTACAACAGTAACCCTCATGTACAGGTTTTATGGTGTTTTCAAAAGTTACAGCATCAAATATAAGGCTTGTGTTTCATTTTTTTCACATTAAAATTTGCCAGATTGGGTACGTTGCCTTTGAGACCCTATGGTAGCCCAAGAATGAAAATTACCCCTATGATGGCATACCATTTGCAATAGTAGACAACCCAAGGTATTGCAAACAGGGTATGTCCAGTCTTTTTTAGTAGCCACTTAGTCACAAACACTGGCCAAAATTGGCGCTTTTTGCATTTTTCACACACAAACAAATACTAACGCTAACTTTGGCCAGTGTTTGTGACCAAATGGCTACTAAAAAAGATTGGACATACCCCATTTGCAATACCTTGGGTTGTCTACTATTGCAAATGGTATGCCATTATGGGTGTAAATTTCATTCCTGGGCTACTATAAAGTCCCAAAGACAACGTGACCAATCTGGCGAATTTCAATTTCAAATGTAACGTGCTATATTTGGCCCTGTAACTACCCAAAACGCTATAAAACCTGTACATAGGGGGTACTGTTTTACACGTGAGACTTTGCTGAATACAAATATGTGTATTTTATTGCAGTAAAAGCAAACAGTATTAAGACATTGACAGTTAAAATGTCACGTAAAACTAAAAAAATCAAACAAAAAATCTTTTTTTCTCCAATTTTTTTCATATTAAATTATGTTTCATAGCTAAATATTTGATATTAAATGAAAGCCCTGTTTCCCCTGAATATAATAATATATAATAAGGGTGGGTGCATTTAATATGAAAGAGGTGAATTACGGTTGGACAGACACGTAGCGCAAATGCCAGGTTTTGTTTACATTTTGTTTCGTTCACAACGTGTACATTTGGCTCCGTCCTTAAGGGGTTAAAAAAAAAAAAGTAACATTTCTTTTTGAAACAATTGCAAAAATCACTGTCTATTCTTGCATGATGTTTGAATCCTTGCCATGTTGCACAGCCAAATGGTTGTACAGACAACGCAAGAACGCAAACTGTCTGAGGAAGTCAGACAAAGCAAGAGAATACAATTTTACGACTATTCTGCTGAGATTTAATGGCCCTTAATTAATGTCTTTATTTATTGCCAGACATTTCCAGCTAGTAATCCTATTGACAGAGAGCTATTTTACATCAATAAAAGTCAAAATAAAAATATGGTTGGTTACAGCGCCCCCTGTTGACACAGTGATTCAAATTTTGTTACACATATATTCTAAACCCGGTTCAAAGTCAAGTTTGTTTATCTGTATAAATATTTACTTAATTTTTAAGCCGCATCTTGGCTTTCACTGGTTAATAAATCTTCTACTGTCCCTCATGTGAAACTCTTCAGATATTATATCTGTCTAAGGTTATTATCTGCAGCCTATGAAGGGGATTGTGTTTAATATAGTGATGTTGATACAGAAGTGTTAACACAATCGTTGATAGTTAGGAAAGGGTGCAGTGAGACAGGGACTCAGCAGAGGGCAGTGTTCCCCCACTATTACTTGTCTAATAACTACCGGCAGCCCAGCTTCAAAACTATATTAATTCTTCTCACGTCTGAAAAACTATTGAAAAGCGCAGTGTTTTTCTGCAGAGAGAAAAAAAAAATCGTAAGGTTTGTAGAGACTGGGAGAACATCGGACGGTTTTATGACGTTCAAACGCCATTGGCTTGTGCTGTTTTTCTGCATATAGAATGATTTTTCATGTAAATTGATACATAAATCTCGGAAGATACATTTTAAAAGATACTCATTCGCTAATGCAGATTATGATGCAGGCAGTTTCACCAAATGACTTTCATTACCTCACTGAGGATTTGCCTATTTTAAAAAGAAAAAAAAAAGAAAAAGTGAGATTTTTCAATTTGGCCGAGATGACATCAAATAGTCTTACATCTTTACTTTGATGCTCCCAGTGTTATTATAGGTATTTCTGGATCTGTTAAAACCCAAAAGGTTTCATTATGCTGAATGTAAGGATGAATTTTATTGTATCAGATCTGTAACTGCAGAAATTAGCAGATATAGGAGAGACACATTATAGGACCTTAAAGCGGCTCTGTCACAGCCTTAATCCCTTTTTTTAAGTCCAACAAACAATTTTCCCTTTAATTAACCTTTTTCCTCTCAATCTTCACTGAGCTGAATCCTTTTTTATGGTGTTGCCATCTTCTACTTACTGGCATTGATGCAGTGCCATTTCCTCTGTCCGAGTACACAACGGGATCTAGTTCTTGTGCATGTTCAATGGAGATCAGTTGATGCAGATCGATAATCTCCCAAGACTAATTTTGTAAGCATATCTTAGCTACTGCCAATCACCTACTAAAGCTTGCAATAGCCTCCTGTGCATGAATAAAGTTTAACGACTAGCAGGAGATAAGAACCTTTATACTAAACACACTGTGCTGTAAGATCTGGATGAAAATGAAAGGTTTTTACTTTCTCAAGCATGTATACTAGTGCATTTTTCGCTTAATACAGGGTTCAATAACAAGTAGGATACAATGTCAATTATTTAAACACTTTTGGCAGAAAATATATATAGCCACAGTAGTAGAAACATACTAGCTCAGAACAAAATACAGTGGGACCTCGGTTTAAGAATTTAATGCGTTCTCCGGGACGTTTCATATTGCGAAAAATTTGTAAAACCGAAACACAGTTTCCCATAGGAATGCATTGAAAACCAATTAATGCGTTCAGGAGGTGAGAATTTTTTTTTTTTTTAAAGTGTTTTATCTTTTCAAAACTCTTTATAAAGTGCACTTTAAAGGCATAAATACTGTACAGGGACATGATTAGTCAAGCAATAACATTTCAAATATCCAACTTTATGTTTTAAAACATCACACATCAACTTTTAAAACATGGCAAACTGTTGGTAACATGGTACAGTACACTTCAACTGTACATAAATCACACGTGAACAGGGAAAACATGGAAAATTTCAAAACAATATCAACACTTTTTGGAAGATGAGGAGGATGATGGCAATTGGGCAGCACTAACACAAGCAGGTTCTTCTTCATGTCCAGGCTGTTTTTGTAGGAACCTTTCCATTGTCTGCTGCCTCTGGCGCCTTTTAAGCATCCCTTGGAAAGGGGACATGATGTCTGTGTCAAAACTGCTCACAAGTCTCTGGGCTAGAGCCTTATCTGGGTGGTGCTGCTGTACAAAAGTCTGTAGGTTTACCCACATTTGGCATGCCTCCTTGAGTTCCGTGGAAGAGAGCTGTTCCTCACTCATTTCCTCCTCCTCCTCAAATGCGGTCTGCTCCTCCATTGCCACCTTCTGCAATTCCACCAGCTCCTCTGTGGTTAGGTCATGGTCGTGTTCCTCCACCAGCTCGTAGACATCCTCCTCAGTCACCTCCAGGCCCATGGTCCTCCCCAAGGAAACAATTTCCTTCAACACGGTTTACTCTGGTGCAGGTGCAGAAGCACTGGAGGCAGGTTTCACAACACAGTCTGGCCACAGGTTGCGCCAAGCAGAATTTAGGTTTGTATGGCTGACCCCGGCCCAGGCAATGGTGATAATCTGCAGACAGCTCACAATGTCAAAATGCTCTCTCCAAAATTCATGGAGGGTGAGGCTTGAGCGATCTGTGATCTCGGAAAAGCTCCCTTGTGTAGAGTTTTTTTTAAAATTGGAGATGACCTGCTGGTCCATTGGCTGGAGTAGTGGGGTGGTGTTAGGTGGAAGGAACATGACCTTGATGAAATTAAAGTCCTCCAGCAAGTCTTCTTTGAGGCCTGGAGGATGGACAGGAGCATTGTCCATGAGCAGCATGGCCTTGAGTGGCAGGTTATTGTCCACAAGGTACTTCTTCACAGCAGGACCAAAACCGCATTGACCCACTTCACAAACAAGAGGCGTGTGACCCTAGCCTTTGGGTTAGACTGCAACAAAACACTCAACTGCTCCTTGTTCACCTTGTGTTTCTTGAAGGCCCGTGGGTTCTCTGAATGGTAGACAAGCAGGGGCTTGATCTTAAGGTCCCCACTGGCATTGGCGCAGAACAGGAGGGTGAGACGGTACTTCATCGGCTTGTGGCCAGGCAATGTGGTCTCCTCTTCTGTGATGAAGGTACGCTTTGGCATCCTCTTCCAGAAGAGTCCAATCTCATCGCAGTTGAAGACCTGCTGTGGAAGGTGGCCCTCTGAAACCATGACCTCCAGGAACTCCGTAGCAAGTTGCTCAGCTGCAGCAACATCGGAACTTGCATCCCCTCCACGCCTGACCACATTGTGGATGCCAGATCTGGTCTTGAACCTTTTCGAACCACCCCCTGCTGGCCTTGAAGCCTTCTGCATCTGCTGACGTTCCTGGCTGAGGTCGGCGTGCAAGGCCTTGGCTTTTTCGCAGATGATCGCCTTGATCACTGAGTCCTTTGCATGATGCTTCTGTTAAATCCAGAACAGGAGCAACTTCTCAACCTCCTCCAGAACAGGTGGCCATTGCTTGGAGGTCCTGGTGACTTCCTTGGCTGCATCTCTCCCAGTTATCTTTTCTTTCATCTTTAGGATTGTACTGATTGTGCATGCACTCCTTCCTTACTCTTTGGCGAGGTCAGTCAATCACATTCCTCCTTCGTGCTTCCTGATGATTTCTTTCTTGTCCTCAAGCAGAATCATCTCCTTCTTCCTCTTCCCAGCTTCTGCTGCTTTCTTGGGTGCCAGGACACCACCGTCACTAAGTATGCAAAAAATAAATAAAAATGCTTTACACCCACATGAGCTGGCATGGAAAACAACCCCACACACAGTAAAAGGCATGCACAGCACATGAGCTGGCATGAAACCATAGTAAAAGCCATGCACAACCAGGGCCGCCTCCAGAAATTTTGGGGCCCCTAACTCAGCTCAGGGTCTGGGCCCCCTGGAGCCCGCCTCCAAATACCGCCCACAGGGTCCGCCACCAAAAACCACCCACAGGAATACACACACAGACACAAACACACACACTGATACAAAAGGATACAGATACATACTAACAGACACACATACTGAAACAGACATACACGCATACAGGCATACATACTGACACACACATACTGAGACATACAGACACACAGGCATACATAGTGACAGACAGACACATACTAACATACATACAGACACACATGCATGAGGACATAAAGACACATACATACAGACACCGACATACATACAGACATACTGACATACTGACAGACATACAGACACTGACATCCATACACATATACATTCATAATGGCATACAGACATACATACATACACACATACATACATACATACATACATACATTCAGACTGGCATACATGCATATATACAGACCAGGGCCGGATTAACATAGGGGCTGATGGAGCTGCAGCTCCAGGCCCAGGCCCATGGAATAGGCCCATTGATTTATAAAAATAAAAAAAATAAAAAATGTTTTTTTTACATTTTTTTTTACACACTACTCTTAGGGATTCCACCTGGCTTTTATTTTATTGGCACAGCCAGTATTTGAGGCTTCCTGGCTGGTGCCAATATTACAGTGATACTGGCAATACAACTGCTGGTATTTTTCTCAGTATAAACAAGAGATTACTATGCAATACCAGCACTGGCCAGTAGGGGTCGCTGTATGTGGAGACAGGCAGGGATAGGAAGTTCCAGCATATCCCTCCCTGCCTATCTATACTCACTGATCTGCAGGGGAGCAGCTACAGAGAGTCCAGACAGCAACTCCCACCCTGCAGAGACAGCCTACAGCTCAGGGAAGTAAGGGATGGGGGGAAAGGCTGCAAGTTGACATGGGGACACTGAGACACTAAGGGACATTGGGAGACATTATGACACAGACACATGGGGACACAGTGTCTCCATGTCTACCAGTGTCCCCATGTCTCCCAGCCAGTGTCCCTGGTGTCTCAGTGCCCCCTAGTCTCCCAGTGCCCCCAGTGTTTCAATGTCCCCATGTCTCCAAGCTAGTGTCCCTAGTGTCTGTGGCCTTGGTGTCCCTAGGTCTCCCCGTGTCCCCAGGTCTTCCCCTCTTCCTAGTGACATGGGGACCCTGGGATACATGGAGACACAGGGAGACATGAGGCATTGAGACACTGTGATACATAGGATCACTGGGAGACCTGGGGACACGACACTAGGGGACACTGGGAGACATGGGGCACTGAGACACTGATACATAGGAACACTGAGACTTGGAGTAATCGACACATCGGGGCACTGGGAGACATGGGCCACTGGGAGGAATCCATCTATACAGCAGAATCAAACTAAGTAGTTTTTTGGTGATTTTACAGCATTTTCTCTTATGTCACTCCTTGTGATTTACATCATGTGATGTCACCCATACATATTTAATTATGCAAATTAGCAAGGGCGGTATGTTTTTCCAAGAAAGGTGGCAACCCTAACTACTTTTCACATACTCTTACTTAAGTATGGAAACTTAAGAGGGATGTATGGGAACAAAACTTGTGTGGACTGGCTGACAATGAATATAGTTAAAGGGACACTAGAGTCACCAGAACAACTACAGCTTATTGAATTTGTTCTGGTGAGTAGAATCATTGCCGTCAGGCTTTTTGCTGTAAACAATGTCTTTTCAGAGAAAATGCAGTCTTTACATTACAGCCTAGTGATTACTTCACTGGCCACTCCTTTGATGGCTGTTAGCCTTCCTGGGTCATGGCTGCCTAAAATGCATCCACACATTCAGTATCTCCTCCCTCTCCATGCAGACACTGAACTTTCCTCATAGAGATTCATTGATTCAATTCATCTTTATGAGGAGATGCTGATTGGCCAGGGCTGTGTTTGAATCATGCTGGCTCTGCCCCTGATCTGCCTCTTTGTCAGTCTCAGCCAATCCTATGGGGAAGCACTGTGATTGGATTAGGCCACCACTTCTAATGATGTCAGCAGACTGCTTGTTTTTCTGAGTCTAACAGCATGCAGAGTTACAGCTTCAGGCTTGAATACAGTAAGATTTTGCTATATTTATGGAGGCATGAGGGGCCCAGGTGGGCTAGATGGTGGTGTTAACACTATAGGGTCATGAATTCATGTTTGTGTTCCTGACCCTATAGTGATCCTTTAAGGTAATGCTGACTTTGACTCTCTAACAATGTGGCATGTTCCCTTTCTTCTACACTCACTACAAACAGCTTTTTTCTGTCCCAAACTATATACCAGGAACTTCTGCCTGCTAGTAAGAAGGTAAGGAGACAAGTGTGCTAGGGGACAGTCCTTAGAAAGCGTTGAGCGAGCGCATCATTAGATGCATTTTTGCCAAGCTCAGGGTGCTGTCTGCATAGTATGCCCTTAGTTGGCCAGCTGCATGATTGGCAGGCAGCCTGACATGCATTCATACCAGGCTGGCCTTCTAATTCTTTGGGCAGACATATCCTCTGGATGAAAATTAAACTTTTTTTTTTTTTTTGAGTCACAGCCATAGGATATTTAACTAAGGCAGGATAAAGAAAAACAAGCATGGTTTAGCTCCTAAATAGTAGAAAATTATGCAGTAAGACTGCAGGGACACAATCACTGATTCATTAAGTTAAAGTTTTTTGTTTGTGTTTTTTTTGGAACTTCAAGTATACCTTTAAGTTAGCCAAGCTTAACAGAAGTAATAGATTGCTCTAAAACAGTGGTCACTAAATGCATAAACCAGCACATAACAAAGTCAGAACAACACACAAGTTTATATAGGTCTTATCCAGGGTGAGGGCAATCCACATTTAACATAAGTATGGGTCCTTCTGTGCATTTTTCCCGTAGGACACAATATCATGTTCGGTCAACAGAGGGCGCACAGCCACATCATTAGTTTTGGAAGACCAGGCAGAGAGCATTCAATACCATGACAATATTCAAAGAGAATACTTGGGACAGACTAAAGGTAAATTCCTGACACTGAATTCCAGATAATATACAAAGAATGAAATGTTGCCATGTTTTTATTGAACACACCATGTAAACATTCACAGTGCAGGTGGAAACAGTATGTGAACCCTTGGATTTAATAACTGGTTGAACCTCCTTTGGCAGCAATAACTTCAACCAAACATTTCCTGTAGTTGCAGATCAGACCATTCCTCTTTACAGAACTGTTTCAGTTCAGCAATATTCTTGGGATCAACAAATTGACAGGGTAATCTGTCTTAACAGCAGGGACGTATTAGCCGCGAGGCAAACAAGGCATTTGCCTTGGGCGGCATTTTTCAGGGGGCGGCAAAAAATGCCGCCCCCCAAATGCCCAGGGCAAATGCCTAGTTAGCCTCGTGGCTAACTGACATCCCGAGCGGGCGGGCGGCGCTGGCAGGCGGGCGGCTGGCGAGGGAGCACCTCCTCTGAGCTGACTGCTCAGCTCCCTCGCGCGCCGGCTGCAGAGTGAGGCTGGGAGCCGGAAGATGACGTCATATATGTCTGACTGTGTGTTTGTGTCTGACTGTGTGTGTGTCTGACTGTTTGTGTGTGTTTGTGTCTGACGGTGTGTGTGTGTTTGTGTTTGACTGTGTGTGTGTGTCTGACTGTGTGTGTGTCTGTGTCTGACTGTGTTTGTGTGTGTGTGTGTTTGTGTCTGACTGTTTGTGTATGTGTATGTGTGTGTGTGTGTTTGTCTGACTGTGTGTGTGTGACTGTGTGTGTGTTTGTGTCTGACTGTATGTGTGTGTTTGTGTCTGACTGTGTGTGTGTGTATTTAGAAGGTGGGGCGGGGGGAACGGTTGGGTGGGGGTGGCGCGGGGTGAGGGGGGCTAGGGCCTAGGGCAGCACAAAACCAGGATACACCACTGGTTAACAGGCGCTTAAAACAAATTCCAACAGGTGCTCTTAGTGCAGCAGCTCTCACACAAAAATAGTAAGTGACTATTATTGAGAGCTACACACTTTCACTATTACATATTGGTTGTGTATATAGTGTATTTATTTGATTGAATATTCTTGGGATGTCTGGTGTGAATCGCTTTCTTGAGGTCATGTCCCAGCATCTCAATCGGGTTGAGGTCGGACTCTGACTGGGCCACTTCAGAAGGCGTATTTTCTTCTGTTTAAGCCATTCTGTTGTTGATTTACTTGTATGCTTTGGGTCATTGTCCTGTTGCAACACCCATCTTCTGTTGAGCTTCAGCTGGTAGACAGATGGCCTTAAGTTCTCCTGCAAAATGTCTTGATAAACTTGGGAATTAATTTTTCCTTTGATGATAGCAATCCGTCCAGGCCCTGACGCAGCAAAGCGGCCCCAAACCACGATGCCCCCACCACCATACTTCACACTTGAGATGAGGTTTTGATGTTGGTGTGCTGTGCTTTTTTTTCCGCCACACATAGTGTTGTGTGTTTCTTCCAAACAACTCAACTTTGGTTTCATCTGTCCACAGAATATTTTGCCAGTACTGCTGTGGAACATCCAGGTGCTCTTGTGCAAACTGTAAACGTGCAGCAATGTTTTGTTTGGACAGCAGTGGCTTCCTCTGTGATATCCTCCCATGAAATCCATTCTTGTTTAGTGTATTACGTATTGTAGATT